TGATTAGAGAGTCTGTGGGCGCGCACTTTGAGGACACGCGTTGACTTAGTTTGACGAGTCACCAGTATGAGGAACAAGCCCACACAAAACAGCGCGAGCTAGAGAAAGGTTAGGATCTGGGTCAACATCTCGCATGCGCTGACCGCGCGCACACTGTCGGAATTACGGTCGGTGTCGGGGCTGACTATTGAAACCATGTACCGGAGGATGACATTCAGACCCGCAAAGTGTAAGGTATACTGGCTACTTAGTTGACCATTGCCGACAATAGACACTGCTAGTGATCCTTGCGAGGGCGGCACGAATCAAGTATGGTGTAAGTAAAAACTAAGTTTTTCCAACACCGAAATAGTAAGGACGAGACCTTTTAAGTAGCAAGGCGGGCAGAGAAGGTCACGACCCCATCCGACAACACTATTGAGCTACATGCGCGGCGGGTGCGAGTGAGAACCTCCCCTAAAAGTGGCAAGTACGGGTGTGTAGTGACTGTGAGTTCGGATGGCTGATGTGTCTAAAAATACGGCCTTTCGTACAGTCCGACGGGCCTAGGCCTGAAAACAGACGTCTTTATAACCAAGTCCGCTCCAGCTACATCCAAGCTTGGGCCTAGCCCTATAGGTTACGGCTTTGGAATGAGACTACGAAGACCCGGGGATCGAGGCCAGCATCCGACTGCGAAGCAGCGGAGGAGCGTCTTATGGAGGAAACTGAGGGGTTGAGGGTCCCGCGGGACTATCCCCCTTAGTTTTGCTAGGAAGTCTGACCGCGGGCCCGATAGGTAGGACTGAGGGCAGAGTTCCGACGGTCCTCCTCCCCTCGTTCATTTTCCTAAATTTTCTAAGTTTTTATTATTATTATTTTTATTTTTGTCCCAATCTGGGATGCGGTCCGGTGCTGGTACCGGGACCGATCGTGTACCAAGAGCCTAGCTCAGTGGGTACACTCGTGAACTGTTGACATACAAGCCCGTGTTCCAACCTTAATGAGGGAACCCGATGAGTAGGACTAGATACTTATGATTTGTCTGGGCCCCGTCTGCCCAATAGCCACCCTCTTGCTAAGAGTGAGTATCTCGCGCTAGTCAGGCCGGGTCCGTTCCATAGCGACCGATGGCCAGACCTCGCCACACCAAGCAAGCCGAGGAGGTCTTACTGGAAGGCACTATTTAGAGTTGGTGTTCGCCTTTATCGCTTCGTTTGAGTCGTGAGTCGTCGGCAGCTGCTGCGTTAGTCAAGAGCGAAGACGGAGACATACGGGGAAAACAACGAGAAGAAGTGGAAGCAGAGGGAAGGGGAGTTATTGCACGTTCACTCCATAACGAAACCGACAGAGATAGAAGCCGTTTTCTTTTGGGAGGTTTGGTTTTGAGTGGAGTGAACAACGGGGCTAGGCTGACTGTAATGAAAGCTGCGATGGGTTAGCAGAAAGAGAGAGGAAAAGAGCAGGAAGGGGAAGGAGAACGAGAGAGGGTCTAGCTTGGCGATGCACCCGACCACATTCTAGTGGAAGATTCAGCGGAGACGAGTTCGGCACTGTCACCAACCGTCATTCCCATGCCTGCCACCGTGGAGGCCGTTTTTCATTTCGGCAGTCGGGTTGTCATCGGAATCGTAATCCCGACGACCGTGATTGAGGTGGCGGTCCGCATCCTGTATACTATGATGCTCGTCGTGCTTGCCATGGGTAGTAGCAAGCACTCTCATCGTAGGTGAGATTCCGTGCAGGTGCGTTTTGTAGTCGAAGCGATGATGGTTCGTAACATATGAGGGGTTAATGAATTTGGGCATGATGTGGGTTAGATGCGCGTAAAAAGGAAGAGAGGAATGGATGTAGGAAGAAGAAGAAGACGGGACGCAGACGGGGGCGGGCGGAAGCATTGCATGTGCACACGAAGGAAAGTAGGTGCCTGAGAGAGAGAGATAGAGAAAGAGAGAGGGAGGACTTACCATTGAGAGTTGGCGGAGCACCGAAGTGAAGCAGTCGTGTTCATCCCGGTGGTGGGCGTCTTGATTACAGGGACCGTCATCTTCTTCTTGACGGCCACATCCCAAGCGTTAAGCGCAGGTCAGAGAGAACAGGAACCTGGCCGAGGAGTCGGCCAGGTGCGTTAGATAAAAGGAGGTAGATAACAGTCGGAAGAGACTGAGGAAGAGAAGCGCCTGCCTGATATGTATCGCCCTGTATTGTAGGAGAAGATTCACTCTCATTTTGCACATTTGGTGGGCGACGGAGAGGCACCTGCAGTTATGGCCACGTCACTCTTGATCGAGCTTCGCCATCATTACTAAGACCGCAACCGTCAACTTTCTGCCCATAGCTCCCCGACTCGTGGACCGCTGCCTTTCCTGAATCCGGGCTCATTGCTCCTCTGATTCGGGCTATCCCTACTTCAAAGTCGCCCTTGGTCGTGCTATTGAAGAGAGAGGCCAACCTAGTGAGGATGGTAACCGGGTACGTTGATAACAAGGAGGATGTACAGGCCTGAGGGAGAGGGCGGCGACAGATAGAGGAGGGAGAGCGAAAGAGAGCAAAAAAAGGAACGTGCCTAGCGCGAGAGCTGACATCCGACGATGTATCTTTACATGTCCTAGCGGAAGATACATTGCCATCTTGCAGACAAACGGTATAACAGCGCACGATTTCCTCCTCCTCCACCATCACGATCGCCATTTGGTCTTGATCCAAGTAGCGGTCCCCTCTTTCCGATGTAGGTGGTGTGTCATCATCACACTCGCCGCCGGGATCCTGGTGCTGTTTCACATCCCGGTCCTGGCGCAGTCTGTTGGTAGTGGTGAGAGGAAGCCCTTGTTGACGTTTGGGTTCATTGCTTAGCTTTTTCGGGGTAGTATCTGGTTTGAATGCAATATTGCAAGTGAGTTCATCATTTCACCAGTGCTCGGTCTCCACCTTGGGTTACTACGGTGGTGCAGACTGTTGATAGTTCGGATTGCTGGTGTTTTTTTTTTGATGAGCGCTTGCTGCTGACCAGTTGTGAGAATTGATTCAAGTACCATGTACCGCTGCTCGTTGTTAGTGGCCTGCAAAAGTATCAGTACAAAGGGTTAACAACTGCTACTGCACAGAGCTTGCGGTACTCGGGCTGCGCTGCCATGGTGTTTTGCTGCACATACAGTTGAGGATTCATTGTGGATTGCTGCACAGCAATGCAAGATTATTGTACATAGTTGCCCTGCGGCACATTGCTGTTTTGTTGTACACGGGTCAGGACACGCAACAAATTTCTGAACTTACTCATGGAATGAGTACCTTTGCCAATGGTTGTAGTCTGAGAGGAACTGCAGCTACTGTGGCTCAGAAACTACTGCAGCCTTTACTTTTATCGTCTAGTTGGTACGGGGTATAGGTGTTGCTGTTGCCCTGTAACCACACTTTACTTCCGGTTATTGACGTGGCTTGGAGATCCGTCCATAGTTTCGTAGCTACGGTCAGCGGGTGTTATCGGGTTGAGATAGCTGGGGTTGAGCTGCTGAGCATACTGCGGGGTTCCCATTGGGCAAGTACTGTGCGTATTGTCGAGTACATTGCTGTGCATTATGTTGTGCACATCGTGGGGTACATGCTGCTGTGTATTGGTAGGTGCGCCATTGTGGCATTTGTACTTGGTGTTGAGCGCTACCACGATGTTTAGTTGCTGCGCACAGCTGCTAATCCCGCAGTTTCAGTGGGTTGCCACTTCTTGTTTGCATACTGAATAGAGCAAGGGGCGTGCTTTATTCAGACGCAACCTTTCTAGACTACGTAGAGGTGTTTTGGTCAAAGAGGTGGGGGGGGCGACACTGAAGACCTCAAGGGGTGGTCAAAGTCTGCAAAGGGAGTTACTGCTGCGACTTGAGAGATTGTCAGGAGGCTACTACTTGCGTTTTGGCCGCGGTTCGGCCGGTTTTGCTGTATTCCGTTGGCCATCATTGCGGGGCCCTCAGGAGATTGAAGATTACAAGGCCCTCTCCTGCGAGTTGAGTCTGTCCCACCCTTGTATCTCGAGCGTCTGAAACCCCTCCATCTGCCCTTCTTACTCTAAGTCTAGTCTAAGGTTACGAGAGGAAGGCGGAAGGCGGGATTGCAACACGTAGGACCGCAACAAGATCTTGTGGGAGGTCCACCCACCGATTGCGGGAGCTCTGCCGGAGCCCAGGCGGGGTTCTGGAGGCAGGGAACACTCAGGTATAACAATCGATTTATGTGTGTGATCCCATCCCCTAAACTATACTAGCCCTTTGTTATTGCGTGCCTGTAAGTATGACTGAGAAAAGATAACTGCCTTTCTTGTTGTTTGAGTTCAGGACATTGTTTTGAAAGGGGTAAAATTGGCAAGTATGTATGATGAAGTCAGACTATCTGTGTGAATTCAAACAAGACAGAACTGTGACTTTACTTGTTGTTGTGACGCGGAGGCTGAGCGAATGCATAAGTTGCGGGTTGTTTAGTCATACGCACTTATTACTTGTCTAGGCTGGCCTAGGCTACTCATAAGTTGGATAGCCAGGGTCTACGCCATATGTAACTGTTTGGGCTGGCCGGGGCACAACATAAGTTGTTGTGTCCTGGTCATATGCCTTTTGTCGTTGTTCAGGCAAAGGCTGGACTCCTCATAAGTTGAAGTGGCTTTTTTTTTTTTTTTTTTTTTTTTTTTTTTTTTTTTTAAACAAAGCTCCATCTATTGGTGGGGAGCAACACCTGCTGGAAACCGGGTCCAACGTCCCATAGATACAACCATATCCTCTCAAAGTGGCACGGACTGGGAACCGGGCCCAGCGTCCCATAATGAGTACATTCAGAAAACTCGTCAGAAAATTTCCTGAAAATGAGATTAGGAACCTACTAGAAAAATCCAATTGGCCTAAGAATAGAGTATTGAAAATTGAGATATCGGGGTCATTACCCGGCTTTGGCTTAGAGAGTGTCTATGACAACTTCATGATTCAAAAACGACTCAGAAGAACCCCCATCAATCCACTTTACCTCCCTCCGGCAAGACTGACTGCATCGGAGCCACCATCTCTGCTACTGCTATACCATACTCCCATCCTACCAGCTAGCCCCCTCACTGGTAAGGACGCGTGGTAACCCACCATCTTCTCCCACTCTCCTTATTCTCTTCTTGTGTCATTACCATTTTTATTCAGAAATAGGCAAACTTCAGAAGACAACTCAGAAACCCCCCTTCAATCCTCTTTACCTCCCTCCGGCAAGACTTACTACAGCGGAGCCACCATCTCCACTGCTGTTGTACCCTATTTCCATCCTACAAGCTAACCCCCTCACTAATAGGACTCTTAATATCCAACCATCTACTTATCCCACTCGCCCCTTTTATGAGAAATTCAAGAAAATGTCAAGAAAATAAGAAAAAGAAAATTAGGGAAACGAAAATTAGAGCTGAAACCTCCACCTTTTTTTGGGACCCACCATCAGTCCTCTTTTACCTCACTCCGGCAAGACTTACTGCAGCAACGCCACCATCTTCGTTGCTGCTGTGCCCTATTTCCGTCCGACCAGCTAGCCCCTTCACTAGTAGGACGCGTGGTATCTTTCCTTCGCTCACCTCAATCCCTTTCTTGCAGTATCGGGGCCATTACCCGGCTTTGGCTGAAAACCCTCTGAGAAAACTTATAGTAATTCAGGAGGTATGGTAACAGACTGCAAAGGTCCTACTAATGCCCCAAGACCCACAAAATCCCTGAGAAAACCTTCCCTAGTTCTCCAACACTGTCTTACTCCCTGTCGAACTCTTCTAGGCCTCACACCCCCTCATCCTGCTGGGTTACAGGGCAACACAGCTCACCCCAGCTCCGGCCAGCATCGTCCCAGCAGCAACCCTTGGGTGTCCCGTGGAGTGCCCACCCCAAAGCACCCCCAGATTTCTCTACCAGGCCTCATGCTCCTGCATAGCAGGTTACAGGGCAACACCCCAGCACCGGCCAGCGTCGTTCTGGCATCGAACAACCGCAGGTCACCGAGTATAACAGCCTCGAAACTACCTAAAAAAGAGTTTATCAGGAATCCCCAGAATCCAGAAGACATTTTTAGGACAAAACAGCCATTCGCGTATGGCGCAACGTGTTTTTTTTTTTTGAAAGAAAATATTCAGAAGCAAAAGAAAAAGGATACGAGGGCAAACGATCAGGAAAGACTAGGACCTGCTAAGCAAAAGAAGGGAAGGTGGAGGTCGTCAGTCCTCGTACAAAAACGCAGCGGATCTCAAACCCCCTTGTGCTAGGGTGACAGGGCGTCACCGCTACCCGAGAATCGATCCACCTTGTTCTCACGGAAAGAAGTGTCTTCCACCCTCGACTATTCCTCAAAAGTCATAAAGCCCCATAGTTACAGGGGAACACCCCCGGCAATGACTTTGCCGAACCCACTGGTTATGCCACACAAACAGGCATAACTCCCCAGGCCTCAAGCTCCTACCCAGCTGAAGTGGCTCAATTCTTTGTGTATGCCAAATGTTCAGGTTGGCCAGCCCCACCATAAGTTGGTGTGGCCTGGTCATACGCCTTATATCGATTGTTCAGGCAGAAACTGACCGCATCATAAGTTGGTGTGAATCGGTCCTATGCCTTATGTCTACTTGTTCAGGCAAACTATTCACATCATAAGTTGGTGTGGTCAAGTCATGAGCCGCCAACATAAGGAGAATCAGAGTATACAATATGATACCTTTATTTATTATATATATCATTGGCAGGCTGGGCGCCATAAGTTGGGGGATTCATCCATATAAGCCGGTAGCAGACAAAGCAGACGAGAAATAAGACGAATAATATAAAATTTGAGTGGTAACTTTGGGCAGGCTGACTCATCCATAAGTTGGGTAGTTGGTCTTATGCCTCTGATAACACAAAAGCAGAGAGATAATATAAAACTTGGGTATTTATTTTTCTAAACATAACCGATGTTTGGGTGGGGATCCCCATGAGTTGAGGTGACCTGACCACTCGTCTGAAGACAGAAAGAACTTGTGACTCTACTTATTGAATGTAGTTGTGTTGCGGAGGTTGGGTGAAGTTATTCAGTCATACGCGCCTGTTTGCTTGTTTAGGCGGGCTAGACTACTCATAAGTTGAGTAGCCTAGTACTACGCCATATGTCATCGTGTGGGCTGGTTAGGCACATCATAAGTTGGTGTGTCCTGGTCATATGTCTTTCGTCGTTTGTTTAGGCAGAGGCTGGACCCCTCATAAGTTGAGGTGGCTCAGTTATTTGTGTATGCCGAAAGTTTAGGCTGATCAGCCTCACCATAAGTTGGTGCGGCCCGGGCATGCGCCTTATGTCACTCGTTCAGGCAGAGGCTAATCACATCATAAGTTGGTGTGGTGAGTTCTATGCCTTATGTTTATTCGTTGAACATGGTTGTATTGCGAAAGTTGGACGAACGCATAAGTTGCGTGTTGTTCAGTCATTCGCGCATGTGGCTTTGTCTAGGTTGGGTTGGACTACTCATAAGTTGGGTAGCCTGGTTCTACGCCATATGTCACTGTTTGGGCTGGCTAGGCGCACCATAAGTTGGTGTTTTCTAGTCATATGCCTTTTGTCGTTGTTCAGGCTAACGCTAACCCCTCATAAGTTGAGCAGGTTTAGTTCTTTGTTATGCCAAACGTTCAGGCTGATCAGCCTCACCATAAGTTGGTGTGGCCCGGTCATACGCCTTATGTCAATCGTGTAGGCAGAAACTGGTCACACCATAAGTTGGTGTGGTTTGGTCCTATGCCTTACGTATCCTTGTTTTACCAGGTTGGGGCACATAAGTTGGTGTGGCCTAGCCATATAAAGTGGCAGGTCAGTCACATCTATAAGTTGGGTTGGTTGATCCTATGTCTTATGTAAGGAAGGGTAAAAAGGGAATGAGGAGGCTTTTTGAACGAACTATGTGACCTGGAAAGGAACCTGTGGGTTGGTGAGAGATGTTGTTGTGCTCACCTATGTATGTTTCCTTTGGGGTATCTCTCTGGGGATTTCCTTTTTGATGGCCTAATCGCTTTAGATGCTCGCTGAGTGTTGGAGCTATAGGTAGACGAGATGGATGGTGGGGAGCTTGGGATATGATAGGACTGACCTTATTGGAAGTTAGGACTAGTGATGGCTCACGGTACCATCTTCAAGTGGGGTTCGCATAAACCATCTCCAGTTCTACTATCCAGTGAGTGTCTGAAGTTAGTCTCAAGTATAGTTGTACTTTGTCTTTGCAATTTCATCTTTGTATAAATCTTGGCAGTCTCCTGTTCCTATGGGAAGCGCTGCCGAAATTTTTACAAATCTGAAGGAGTTAGTCACTTTTGGACTCCCGGAAATTCTGAAAAGGCACTTTTTCTACAGGAAGCGCTGCCGAAATTTTGTAGAATCTGGAGAGTTCGATTATTTTCTGCTAGGCAAAATTTGGCAATCCACCCTGTCTAGGAGAGATGCTGCCAAAATTGTTAGTGATTTCTGGGATCCATTAAGAGAAGATGAACGAGGGGTTAATAGAGGAGTTAGGCCTAGACATGGAGCAAGTTCTCCTTAAACATAGTTTGGTACGTTTTGGCCTGGAATGTGATCCAGGTCTACGAGTTCGATTGAAGGTTTGACTCGTTCGGCCTGATCCTACAAAAGATCATTCTTCTGTTATCACTGATAACAGGTCGGTTGCCGATTCATCGGTTTACGACAACAACTTCCCTGCTTCTGCATCTCAACCTAAGGCCTTGGCTCTTTGAACCTTGTGTGATCGCATGTATGCATATAAGATCTTTTGAATTGAGCTTGATGATAGTCTGAGTATTGCGTGAATGCTGATGGACAAGCCACACAACTGATGTGAGAGTGATCTTCTAATACCACACAAACTTCTGCTTGACTATGTGGACTATCCTTACTCTTGCTTTTTAAAATTATTTTGGTTGGACGTTATAGTCCGTGGCAGCCGTCAAAGTCAAACCCCTTGATTTCTCTCCAGGCCCTGGATGATGGAGCTTGCCTCCTAGGCCACAAGAGTTGACTGCCACCACAGGTTTGAACCTGTGTACCACCCACTCTCCGCAGGGTGCAGAAGAGGGTGTGGTGATCAACCGCCTTGGCGGTTGCCTAGCGTCGAGAGATTAACCTTTCTTGGCGCATGTCAGCCGACACTTGAGTGTCGAAGCGTGACCCCCAAAATTATCGGGGGTCGCACGATTGTGGTACCACATAGTACTCCATCGTTGCGACTGCTTAAGTACGCTTGCACCGCTGGTCGATGTGAGAAAGGCCTAGCGCCCGTGCGGTTTTATATTGAGTCTCTCGCGCGACGCCTAACCGATTACCGTGTTAAAAGGTTATGGGTCGGACACTGAAGGGACTAGGAGTGTTGTTGTGTTGTTGTGTTTTTTTTTTTTTTATCTGTCCTTCCGCGCGTGTGAGTGTTGTGGTGTAACGCGCGGTGTGTGGATTGCGTCCTAGTCGACTGACGACGAGTCGTACTTGGGACCTCAGCCCCCCAATGCGTTGATTTGCGTACGGGTCCGATTGAGGGGCGTTTGACCGCGCGTAACCCCTATGCTACAGCGAACGAGAAACGCCCTCGGCCGGGCCACCTCTGCGATTGCATACGAAAAACTTTCAAACATGGTTCGGTAGCTCGGCAGGGATACGCCCACCCAAGGGATGGTGACAGCTCTCGCGGGTGGAGGTAAGCAGTGCCTCGCGTGACCCTGTCCTGTCGTAGGGGCTTGCGAGAGGTACGGCTGGCGCACTCGGCCGGAGCGGCAAACCACGCTCCACGACGAAAGTCCTGCGAAGGCGGCAAACCGCGCTCCACGACGAAAGTCCTGCGAAATCGTGCATGACGCGGCCGGGAGAGTCCCTCTGCGGGGCCGATGCGCCCGACAACGCAAGGTCAAGCTATGGGCAATTTGGAAAGAGAGATGCAGCAGAACACTGGAGGGAAGCTAAGAATCCATGGGAAATGGTCTGGGCGACCACCAAAGGTATGATCGAGGCTGAGATTTTGTGCCAATGGAAGAAGGTCAAAATCTGGGTGCAGAACAATCCGAAAACAAAACGGGAGGTGCTTGCGAAGTTCAAGCACAATTGGTTGGCAGGAGGCAAAGTCGCAGGTCTAAATGAGCTCAGTCTGAGGTGGAAAGACTGGCATAACTCAGACGGGGCAACAGGTCAAGAGGCTTCCAGGACACAAGAGATACCGGCTACTATCTAGGTATAGCAGGGCAACCAGGGAAACAACGGAAGAAGACAGCTACAAGGCACACATGGAAGGAGATTGGCAGGAGAGAGCATCGAGAGCATTGAGAGAACCCATCACAAGACACTTTGACATGTGGACAGGATTGTGCCTCTCTCAAACTCTTGAGCTTAAAAGATACCAGACAGCTAGGGTATGCCCTAGTTGAGAGGACGTTGGGTTAAAAGGCAAGCTGACAGTTAATCCTCCACAAAGGTGGAGCAATCAATGCTGTTCAGGGGTCCTTTGGCCAGACGTGTATGTATGTTGCTGTACTACCATGACTTGCCGGTGGAAAAGGAACCGGACTGATGCTCCCCAGAATGGATATGGAGCCAGGACCATAATGCCCTGTTTTTTGCAAAAGGAAAAAAAAAAAAAAAAAAAAAAGTATTTGAGGATAAAAATTCTCGCAATCAGTGATTTTCACAAAGCCATTCTAACCGAATTTAGTAATTTAGTAATAGAAAGTAGGAGGATCTGCGGACTGGAACTCTCGTCATAATTACACGATTTTTTGGAGCATTTATTAATTTCAGTAAAGTTCATTCCAGAATCCAAATAGTAAATAACTTAAAAAACTTTAAAAAAGGGTAAGGCTGAAGCCCGAAGTTTTTTTTTTTTTTTTTTTTTTTTTTTTTTTTTTTTTTTTTTTTTTTTTTTTTTTTTGTTGAGAAAGTGGGGGTAGTCGACGCTGCGACTGTGCCGTACCGGTGAGCGCGTGTGGTAATTTGCCAAGCGTGCAGGACGCGAACTCCAGTGCGAAAACGCCACGCAATTTCTCCCTTTTCAAACACGCGAATTCGCGCGGGAAAGAGAACCTGTGGGAGAGAAATCCTCTCACGACGTGACGCCACGCCACGCCTCCGGGCGTACGACCAACGGAGAAGACAAAGGAGAGGAGAGAGAAGAGAGTGGGGGCAAGGAGAAGAGGAATGAGTGTATCAACACTGCGAAGAACGACCATAAGGAAGAGAAAAGAAAGGGAACAGAAAAGTGTTCGAGAGGAGGACGAAAGCAGGAGCAATAATAACAAAAAGGAGCGGCAATGAGAAAAAGCCCGACCAGCAGGAAAAGCGTCACGATCCGACGAAGAGCGAGAGTCGGTAGAACCTAGAACACAACGCACCTCCACGACAACCAAGGTCAGAACACTCCCAAGAATCCCTATGGTAAGTTCAATTCATTCAAGCACCATCCTCAAACCCACCTGGCACGGGCGACAGTGGAAGAACAATAACCCAAGTGAGAGTGGCGGACATCGGGGAGAAGGAAAGGGACAAAGGAGAGATGACTCCTAGCCAAATCTAGGAATAGGGATTGTGAATACGAGAGCATCCAATCGTAGAATCAGACATTACTAATATTTTTTTTCTTTTCTTTTTTTTTGTTGCAAGATGAAAAGCAATAGAAAGATAGACTTACAAGGTCCCACGACGAGCCGACCTCCTCCACCACATAGTTCCCGATATGAAGGTTGTCAAGGCTGAGAACTACTCAGAACCCCCCCCATTCAACTGAGAATGATCTTAGAGCTATTGAAGGAATGCAGAAAAAAAAATAGTAAGGACCAGGTTTTTTTCAACCTAGCCATCATCAATCCTAGCTGACCTGTTCTCCACACCTATTGTGGCATACTGCCTAGCCACACGGGCCCTGCAGGGCCCGTCCCGAACATTCAGCCTAAAAGCCTAAAACTTAGGGCTTACAGGTCCCGTTCGTTTCAGCCTGAAAGCTGAAAAACGAGGGCCTGCAGGCCCTATCCCGTTTCAGCCTATTTCTGGGTCTTTTCAGACCCAGAGTTTTCAGCCTGAAACGGAGGGCCATTTTGAGGCCCTCATTGTTTCGACCTGCCCCTAAGACTCAGGCCCGTAAACAGGGATGCGGAACAGGCCAGAAATAGCCTGTTCCTCACGAGTTTGAGCAGGAGTTGCAGCTGCAGCCCCTGCCTCCCTTCGGCAGGCTCAGGAGGCACACCCGGTAGTACATAGGAAGTTCCCATGCACTTCACGGGTAGGTAGTTCAGTAGGCACGAGGTAGTCTTCAGGATTCGGCCGCAGCACTCAGGAGGAGCGCTGCAGTAGTCTTCAGCGCTAGGTAGTATTAGCGCTAGCTGTAGTCTTCGGCGCTGGGCGCCATAGCTGTAGCTGTAG